CCACATGACACCCCCACACCTTCTATTTATGGGCGATTTTAACTGTCTTCGAATACGATGGACTGATGTGCATTTGATGCCTGGACATTGTGAGGTTGAAGCCAAATTCGTGGATTTGGTACTTGAATCTGCTGCATGGTAACACATGCCACTAAACACGCATAACATCACGCTCAACCCCGTCCTGTCTCTATCTGATGTTAACGAGCTACGAACAGCGAGTGCGTGACATTCGGATCCTGGAGCTCCTGGACACAAGCGACCACTCAGCTGACATGGAATAACCTTTGCCGTACTCACTTCCGCTGGAACCACTTTACAGCTACTGGAAAACGGACTTTGTCAGTATAGCTCATTCTGCGTGCCATCTGGATTGGTCTCTGTCACAATCCGCATTTGTGTAACTTTGTTGGACATTTTAAAGGTGAGATTAACTTCATTGTGTTCCCAATTTGTACCCATGAAATGTCGGAGGGTTAGACCGATTAAGCCTCATTGTTTTGACAAGGAGTATGGAAATCTGGTTGGGTGGTGTCGTAGACTGTGGAACAGACTCCTCCTCTCTGGCTCTGACAATGACTACGAAGGGTATAAAAGTCAGCGGAACCTCTGCAACAGTGCAAAAAGGAATAAGTACCGACATTTCGAAGCGCACCTCTCAAATGCCGCCAAGACCGCCCCAAAGAGAATCTTTGCTTACATGAAGCGACGCCTGAAATCGGCTGGTGATGTGCCAATGCTGGATGGCTCCGACAAACAGCCCCCAATCTCCAGCACTGAGAGCGCGTCTGCGTTGGCGGGGCAGTTCGCTTCTGTATTTGCAAATGACCAGCTGTCTCTTCCGAGTACGACGTGTACGGTTTTCACCGAACTCGACAGGCTGAATTGCGGAGTTGAAGAATTATGTCAATTACTCGCCAGCCTTGACGGCACCTAACCTGCCGGACCTGATGGGCTTCACCTACTGATTCTCAAGTCACTTTCGGCCATCGTCTCACCCGTCGTGACTGACCTTTTCAACAGTTTGCTGTCCGACATTTCGTTACCGATTAACTAGAAATGTTCGGTGATAAAGCCCATTTCGAAAGGCGGCGACCCTAGCAGATTAGACAACTACAGACCAATTTGTCTGGCACCTAGTTCGGCCAAGCTTGCTGAGCAAATCGTAAGGAAGGGATTATTGCTATTGCTACCGTAAAATATGTCTTGACTATCGCACAGTACGGCTTTATGCAAGGCCGCTCATGCATTTCAAACTTGTTTGTGATGCATAAGTGTTTGACGGTAATAAGCAAGGGGAAGTCTGTCGAAGTGATATTCATCGATTTCAGTAAAGCTTTCGACAAGGTTAGAAATGTGGTCCTCCTTCACAAACTTAGAATGTGTGGTGTCGGTGGGTCACTGCACCGGTGGATCTGCGACTTTCTTGTCTGACGAAGATGGAGGGTACAGGTTGACGACCATCTAAATGACTGGTATCCCTACAAGTGGCCTGCCTCAAGGCACTGTGTTAGGACCCACTCTGTTCGTAATCTCCACCAACGATCTACCTCAGCTTCTCCGGTCGCTGTGTGGGCTGTTTGCGGACCACATGAGGATTCGAAGATAAAATGACGCTCCGGGCGATTGTGGTGTACTTCAGCAAGGCCTCAACCGCCTATCCACATGGTGTGTAGAAATTCATCTCCAGGTCAGTGCAGCCAAATCTGTATTTATGTGTCTGGGGAAGGGTACGGATGGCCGGAGCTGCACCCTTGACGACCAACCGCTATATCCAACACACTCCGTGAAGGATCTAGGTGTACACTCGCGCTAGTTTGAAGTCCGTGGACAACTTAACAAGCCATATCGTAACTGACTACGCATACTTTGAGTGCTAAAAGTAGCTTCGGCACATGTTCTGAAGAGGTTGCCACTCGTCTCTTATCTTCCATCATTAAGCCAATGTTGGAGTACGGTTCGCCCTCCTACTTTCCGATTACCTGAGGCGAGGCGCAAAAGATCGAAAGGGTGCAACACGTGGTTACCAGGCTCATCCGGAGTTTACGTAGCTTGGTGTGTGAAGACCGGTGCGAGGAAATGGACTCTGCACCTTGTCCTACCGTCGGGTGCGAGTCGACCTCATTATGACCTACCATGTTCTACATCTCGGTGACTTCACCATGCTGAAGCTAATGCTGCACTTACGAGGGCCATGCAGCACACGCGGACACAGATACAAACTTGTCGTGCCGGATGTGAAGGGAGTACCCCACCCACTGTGTTTCGAACGGAGAGTTTGCCTGAACATGTGATGGAGGCAACACCTGTGCAGCAGTTAAAAACGTTGTAAGATTTATATTTTATCACTATTTGATTCAGAGAACGATCACACACTTACGATGACACGTCACATTTGTGAATCCTGCAATACCGTGAGTCAGATATTTAAAATGTTACATGAGAACGATAATGATATTCATGGATGACAATTTTTATGACGTTTTGCACTATATTTCGAAAGTTGCACAGAATTCATTTCTACTTTCTCGATAATGCAGGATTCAGTATTCAAAGCTTCAGTGAATCACGGGCAATGCCTGTCTTAATTATAGCAAATATTTTCATTTCATTAACAAAACGTAGAGCATACGTCAGTGATACGTATCAGAAGAATGTACTTGAAAGCAAACTTTCGGTTGGTGCATACTTGTGGATTGCTAAAATGCATGTGGTGTATCTGAAGCAATTATGAAGGTAGGTTCCCCGCCTACTTCCGATATATGCCGAATTCTTGATGAAACCATCAAACCAGCTTCTGATCAAGAGATACCTCCAAACGCGATGGGGTTGGATACATTGTTGATAATTTTTTACTCCGTAGCCTCAATGTGTATCATGCCATCAGAAAACAATTTTCCATTGTTATCAGAAAATCCCTGACCATCTGTGCACCCATACACTGTCATGTTTCCACGAACAAGTTCCCTTCTGTGTGGCCGATGCGGCATCGCTGGTGGAGTGGATGCTGTGGAGTGCAGATTCCATAGATGGTTCCTTTCACGAGTATCGCTGTGAGCCAATTCGAATGCAAAGCAACTGGTGTACTGGCGAAGTGAAGACGCTGCCACCGAAACGACAAGGCAACCGTCGGACTAACTGAGTGCGTTACGGAGACGATGTTACAAGCTCAAACTAGGAGGAGAGGAGGCACTTGACGAGCTAGTCAATCGCTCACGGCCTACTTAGTACATGAGTGCACTTTTGCTCTCTCACCAGCCGTTTCTCGCTACCTGCTTGCCTAAGCTTTAATCGACGGTTTCCCATGTTCACGGGTGCGGCTGTAACTAGCCCATGCTTCACCGCTGTAGTGCGGAGACGAACCGTATTACACGAGAGCAGGCCGACTCCAGTACGCAGGATGGACCCTTGTCCAACGTGTACCAAAGTCTCCGTGGCAAAGTAATACTCACTGAGTCCTCCAAGACTCCTTTGGTTTCGTTTGTACGTGAGCCACCGTTGTCTTCACTATGGCAGTTCTTTGGTCCCGTCGCACAACACAAACTTTGTCAGCGAAGTATAAATAAATAAATAAATAGTTTATTCTCGTCATTGCGAGGCACACTGGCAAGGGCGTGATCATGGTAATACATACGTGTAATACACACGGCAGTTGCACAAATTAGTACATTTCGACAACTAGCATAGGAATGTATGAGTGTATTGACTTGTAACCGTATGTTTATGTCTGTATTTGGAAGTAGCCATGTAGCGTGATTAGGTAAATGTGACTCTGTGTGTGTTTTTGTTCGTTGGGTTCGCCATCAAAGGGGGAAATCAATGGAACACTTCGAATCGCGTGATGTTGGTGATGCGTGAATGATCCTCCGCAAAAGGGTACAGGCATGGACTTTATTTAGTGGGGAGTCACATCCGCCACGTCACAGTGTTGTTAAACGGATATCTGTGGTTTTTTATAGAGAGAACGCTTGCCAGGCGAAATCCCACCGCATCCTGAAACACTGCCGCCGAACCGTTTGCTGGAACGGGATTAACCCGAACCACCCAGCTGGCACCACGGGGAGGTTGTTCGGCTAGCCAGCTGGATATCATACGGACTTCAACCCATCCCCGGTCCTTACTGGGCCTAATGAGTAGTACAAACGAGGACCAAATCAGTCGTCGGGTGCACCGTAGGAGGCAAGAAAAAGTGAAGATTTATTTACCATAATAGAAGACATTGTCAATCAAGGTGGTTACAGCTAAACGAACTAATATAACTTCACCCGAAGAATACCGAACGAAGTTAGGCGAAATAAGGAGCAGTGAATATCCTCGGGAACAAAGTAGCAACTCAATAAACAAAGTTACATATGATGTCGAAAACGATCTTAGGTAAACTACGCATCGTCAACTCAGTACTATCTGAGGCTGGTGAAAAACATTGTCCTCCAATCAAGTATGAGTAGTCTGGAACCGAGTAACCATTACGGCAGCCGGGTGAAAACATTAAAGGTAACTTTTACAAGGTGTTGATCAATCGGTGTTTGTTCAGAAAATCCTTCATGAAACAAGTTCTACTTCCCATAGGATACAGTCTGGCCAACGTGTAAGGAACGAAGACCTCAGCTTGCAGATCTGTTCTATCGATATGGGGTAGTGTAACTAATGTTTCAATAGAATAAGAAAGGTATCAGCAATACGGCAGTACGCAGAATCGACGCTTAGCAGCCGCCACCACCAGCTGCACGTGAGCTAAGAATACTGCTATGTTCGCCCGGTCCACTACGCAGACTCGAAACCGAGACCTCAAGATTACAAGAAAAACTTTTGATCCTTAAATCCACAGGCCCGAAGCAAGAGCGCAGTACTAAACCTGCTGTTTTCTGCCTGGATCAGCTAGGCATAACTGGGTATAAGATAGGTTCGACCTAGGAACAACGTGTATGCCGTCTGTAGCCACGGTGAAACGGCGATTATCGCAACAGAGTCGCACATCACTTTTGATAACAAGCTCTTACCGAATATGGGGCTGAAAGACACCTGAAGCGTCATCAACTGATTGTGGTTCAGATTTCTTAGGTAAACGTAATGGACGGTCGAAGAATCATGCAGACTATCAAGTCGGTACGTTTTCCCCAGTCTCAAGTTAGGCAAAGGTAAAGCTGAGTGGGTAGTGTTTTTGAGAGTATTGTTCGTGCCCTCAGATAAACGGGCTTCGCTACCGAATCCCTTCGGTAACACACCGCGACCAGCGTCAACCAAAATAGGGCAAATAGGGGCTTCCTCGGTTTGATCAGTGGTTGCAGTGCTAAGAGTTGGGTGAATGTGTTGAGGGCGGGGTGCCGTTGGCGGAAAGAATATGCACTCATCAATTATGAAGTCCACATCGGTAGTTCCCGGAAGAAGTAGAATTCTGCGAAAAACGAAAGAGCTATGTGTAGCGTCTAACGCGAACATAATGGGAGCATAGTATAGGGGTTATGTGGCAAAGTAATTCACACAGTAGTTAGGGTGGACTCTTGAGACGAGGAAAACAATAGACTTAAATACTCCCAAACAATGTTCGGTTTGGTGTCTTGAAATAATCTAACATTGTGTGGGTGTCAGGTAGTACTGAAAAGAGGAAGCGGTTAATTGCTGGATCAATTCGACGGTTAAAATGACCAATTCACACAACTTGAATAACAGTAGAATACAAGAATCTAAATGCGACATAATGATCCAGGTTAAGCCATGTAGAGCTGGAGTATTGAAGGTGCTCCGCAGGTATCGCGACGCTAAAGATTTGTCCACTTCCTGTATAAAGGAAAAACGAATGTATTGAGTTGGTAACAAAGTAATTGCACTTTTTAATCTTAATCTTTAAATGTACATATTTTGGCTCAAAGTACCATTTTTATTAGAAATAACAACCACTTGCATTGACACGCTTTGTCAACGGGATACAAGTTTACTTGTTCCGGATGAATAAAATTCCACAGTTCTGGTGAAGAGGAAATCGTAGAATGGATGTTTCAGCAAGTCCTTGAGTCTTAAAACGTTTTTCTCATAGAAAGTTATTCAGGTCCTTGAAGAAGTGTTAATCGGTAAGCTAGAGGTTAGGAGAGCATGGTGAGTGAAGCAAAGTTTCGTAGCCCCAGCTCGTGCGGCTTTCGCAGGATTGTTTATACGACGTGCGACCGAGTGTTATCATAGCGAAGAATTGGCCCCTATCTGTTTCCAGTGCCGGGCACCTGCGTGGAAGTTTTGACACATTTCGACAATTTGTTGTCAATACTTCGCCAATGTGATTGTTTAGCTTGGTTTCAAAATGTTGTGATGGATCAGACCACTCGCAGATGCAAGTGGATGCAAGTTCGACTTTAGGAAGTGGTGTGGGGCTTGATCGTGGACCAACCATAGAGAGGTTAGTCGTCGATTGTCGTAGAGTCCCGTTTTCATAGCAAGCCACAATCTTATCGAGAAACGCAGAAGGGCAGACGACAACTCAAAACAACGATTTCTTTTATTTTTACTCAATTCGTGCGAGCATCCACTAAGCAAGCCTTTTCGAAATTTAAATCGCTTGTAAATGTTTTATTACTGTCCTTTACGATACTGTTAAGTCAGCACCAACATCCCAAATAGTTTGGAGCGGTTCTGCGTTAACTAAAGCCTTAAATTGGTTGTTGTTCACTTTCAACGGCCGTCGAAAGGAGTCTTCATCTTCAAGCCTCTCTTATGCTTTTCGAAATTGTTCTAACCACCATTGTGCAATAGGGTTATTAGTGGTGTCAGCACCAAATGCACTTTCGATGTCACCTGGGCTGTGTTCACTGCATTTCGACCGTTTAAATTGCTACAAGAAAATTGTGCGAATTTATCTTCTGTCCATGTTGCACTAAATGTTCTGTGGAGATGTAAAAAGCCGTTTCTGAGCTAAACTGTCACCGTAGTTAGATGGAGCCCAAAACAGTCTTCCAAATGATAAACAACGTCAAAGCAAGCTATTACAAATTGTTTAAAAACACCATTGTTAAAATAAACATATCAAAAACGCGCAATAACTCTATTACCAATCTAATATAAACAATGAATACTACTCACTAGAAGACAGTAAACCACTATTAGAGTAGGCGATTGGCACGATACTAGCTTAGTAAAAAGTGGTAACCCATGTACAGAAGTTGAGTAGACAGTCAGGCGAGCATAACGTACAGGTCAAGCTCCCAGTGTCTTCAAAATGAGGACGAAGCAGATTCCGTGGTTAAACTTAGGACAGTCAGTTCAGTTCAAGTGATCAGTTGTGACCTGCTCTAAAGTATAATAGAACCTGTTGGGTTGAGTTACATGACTGTAACTAAAATCTACCGCAAAGTGAAGGAAAGATAGTGAGTGTCACTAGTCAGGCACTGGTTATTAAAACCATGGCTATTGTGCTCCTTGCGAGCAGCATGAATGACTACGTGGACTGCATAACGAAATGAGGTAGGTGCTAACCCCCGTGGTGATGAGCATTGGTGATAGATTCCATTAAGTGTTCGCAGACCAACGCTGATATGTCCCCAAACTGGTTTCCCAGCGAAGCAATCATTCAGAGTCAACTGGTATTCATCAAATTTGCGGATTACCCTCATCTCATATTCACTATATTGCCAATCGGTGCAGGTAGAACAAGTAAGTTCAGGATAAGCTGTTGATAAGTGACATTTGGGTGGACTTCTATTGTACACTGCGGCGTGAGTGCGGATCGTTTATGCCTCCAAACTGCGCAGTAACAATCAGATAACAGTGGTGGACATGGTGGACGCGATAAATTTGAATTTCGATCGCCTCCGGTTTGCCTTGAAAAGTTATTTAAGGTTGCTGCACATCTCATAAGAAACCGTTTAATTACCCGTTTGGTTTCATTTTAGCTTAAAACTGTACTACTTCACACAAGATAAGTCCTTCGTGTGAAAGTTACAAAACCTTGATAGATGGTAACAACTAGCTAAAACTAGCACTGTGACTACAGGCTAGCAACATTCCGGCCGATGTGATGCACTGAGCAAAGCGACAGACGGAAATTCTCCAATGACCGAGAGGGATGGGAATTTTGTTCATTTTTATACGTACCGAGTTTGCCGCCGACCAATTCATTATACACACGTATTTAGGCCGGATTCCTGTTTCACCCAACTGGCATATGAACCACACAATCCGCACATATGAGATAGGACGCAAACGGATGTCATTAAAGCAGAGATAGTTGTCCGATACTAACTACCCATCGTCATCGTTACTGAAAGTCAACGGGTTATTCACTACTGACTACTGGGCTCCATACTGGCTGCTGCTTGCCAACCTCTGTCCATGTCTAGAAAAATGGCGAAAGGTGATATTGTGGAAAATGTGTTGGCCTTACTGTCTCGCTGAATGCTTCACTGATCTACGTTGGGGTCGAAACAGCGAACATCAAGCTGTCTTCTTCTCTCATAGAGGATGTAGAAGTCAGGTAGTAATCAGGCAAAAATACAATACCTAGCACAGCATCCTACATTGAGTTGAAAGTGTTACTTTTAATGCGACTGGTTGCCCACGGTACAGATTTTTCCGTCTTTGAAGGGCCTTTCAGAGCGACTGTGCACTTCAGCGAGCTCTAGATTGCCACACTAGTGCATGGTTCAAGGGTTGACGGAATCCATGAATATAGTGAACATCCGAATGGCGAGGCTTAACGAAATGCAATCCAAGATGACCATAGAGAGTCAAGCACGCCGAGTTTCGATCAAGTTCAAGTGAAAGAGTAAAACAAATGGTAAGTCAGTAGCTGCTGTGTCTCATCAGTTCATCAGACTTAACGTGGACTGCGGTTGGACAATTTAAGGAGGAAAGCGCTTGACAGAAAGGCAAATGTTGCAACTCAAAAGAGGAGGGTGTGGAGAAATTAAATTGTAGTTCGCTAAATTTCAAAAAGAAATCCGGGCACATCGAACAGAGTATGAAGTTGATGATACTGGCACGCACCTGAACAACCGTCCCTCGGATGGCTCCAACAAGATCGAAATCCGCGCTTCATCGTTGAATTCCTTTACCAATGGTTCATCAGCCACAGTAGAGCTGGAGTCCTCCGGAGAAAATATACTCGTGTTAAAGAGGTCTGCGCGTTTATCAGTAGCACTCTGCGCGTAAAAATCGCTTTTATTGTGAAGAAGTGAAGATTTTGGTGGGGCAGATACTAATGAACGGAAAACAGGGACCGAGGACCTGACGGAGTCATGTGCTGGAATTCCCTTTGGTACAGTTAGCGGACGCTGGTAGTCTGCGTCAGGTTTGGTAACCGTAGGCGAAAGTAGAACGATTGCGTCTATGTTGGTCACCACGTTAAAGGAGACTGCAGGAAACATCCAAGACGAACATTTGGGCTACAAAAGTTAAACACGATACTTTAAGAGTGGAGCGGCTGCCGGTAGAGAAGACATGAAACCCTGATTGGATGGATACTGGGTGTTGCCATTCAGAAAACATGACACTCCACGACCGCTTCCGCATTCAGCGGGTAGACATATCAATCACTCTAACCCGGGGTTTTTGGAGTGTCAGCCGAAGCATCCACCCGTAAGTCACCGAGCCGCAGCGGGCAACGCGATTGCTTAAGAATGTTACGGGGTTGTCGTGATCCTCGTAGTGTTGGCTTGTTGTATATGGGTGTTGTGCAGTAACCGGGTCAGTCAGGATGGAGTTGGGCCCTTCGGCTGTCTAGTGGTGATACAGTAAGCAAGTCTTGCTGAAGACTCTTGTTTCCTGAGTTAGTAGGTGGCGTTGCAGTAAAACAGAGAACTAAGGGTCAAAAAACTATTCCAATAAAAAGACACATGCGATACTGCATGATCTCTCGAGGGATTCTGATTAGTGAGTGTGCTGTTAGCAAAATCACTGTGTGAGAACCAGGCAAGGCAAATAACCAGCCAAATTTGGTTAACAGAACAGCACCTTATTACCTCAACCATGCGAAATGCTATGACGATATGATGACGCGTAAGAAAAATGTAAAAAGACTGAGACATGGTTGTATAGGCTTCAGGAAATATCAAGCAATGGCGGGAAGACTGCGTATACCATGACATGCATCAGTGCGTGTGTGAGCCACCTGTGGCTTAAGGATGAGAAGAGGACAGCGTGGCATTTGTGGACTGTCATACCGTGTGCAGGTCAGTAGGTCAGATTGGTCGAGGCACCTGTGAGAACGCGGCCGGTTGGCCAGCAGACCAAATGAGGGAGGTGCGGATGTTCTGAAGGTCTCCGGTTAGCTCAGTGGCAGATAGAAAAGCCAGTGGCTTCGCATAATCCACCACATGCGGATAAACCAACAGAGAGGCTAAAGAAACGGTAAACTGAATAGAAATTTGATGCATATACACAGCACGGTGATCAGCTACCCCGCTTTTCTAGGCGAAATTAGGCAGAGAAAATACAACATCCAGCAGTGCAGTGGTGAAACTTGCTTGGCGGCGCTGAGAACAGGAGTATCGCGAGTAGAAATTTCAAGCATAATTGCAAATAGGCAATCAAGAAAAACCGCATGCTAGGGTCTACTATGATTCATCCATTATCGAACCTGCTGACCATAACTACGCTACGGCACACACATTAATGATGACGAGGTCTTACAAGCGAGAAACTATTATCCGCTTTACCAATGTTTAACGTTTTACCATGGAAATAACGGTTGGCCCAAAGACTAACACTCGATTATATCAAGCTCCTTTTTTTGCTCTAAAAACCATTCGAGTGTACAGAGCATTGAAGCCAATGCGCCTACGTAAGCCGTGAGCCATTCCACCACCTTGAGACGCTAGGAAAGTTGGTCGGTATAATCTTTTTAACAAAGATTCCACAAAGTAGCAAACAGTATTGGTGTGGTTTAGAGAAAGCAGAGCTTTAGGAAGCAAAACCAAAAAGACATAGCAGCTCGGGTGATAAATGTAAAATTAAGACCAAAATTGTGTTCAGTAAAACCTGAAAATGGGGATTACAAAAACATGATAATAATGTGTAAATCTGGTTAAATGAAAAATATGGTAAGACAGGTAAGCGAGACGTTCAGCAAGCTGAGACAGTCTACTAGACGGACAACCGAAAGCGTGTGAACCAACGTCGGAACGAAGTTCGTAAGCGATACTATGCGATGACCCCAAAGGACATAGGTATAGTGAAGAACAGTCTGGAAACATGGGACTCACTTCGCTAGCTCTGTCTAAAAAGAACACACCAAGGAACCACATTCCTGCCGCTGGACAGTAGAGCTTAACGTCTACAGAAACTGACTGGTCTTTGCGGGAGTAAGTGATATCATACAAAGACTCGGTGTCTATGTGGACATTGGATGCAATCGGTCGAGCAGTATGTACATCAACATTGACCATGTAGGCGTCAGGAAGAATCAGCACACCCGGAGGCACGGCCACAGGATCAGGGGCTACGACGGGTAAAGAATGAGGCCTCAAAAATCTAATAGGGTGTATATATGCTTGATATCACAAACTTACAATGTGAGATTAGCTGGTTCACAGCTGCTTTGAAACGTTAAATAAGTGGAGAACCTGAAACTCAAACTATCAGGCGGTACGTCAAAGTGTGAATAGCGGATATCAGCAGTGCTTTTCAAAGGCTTCAGAGGCAGGGGTGGCAACTTGTGATTGGAAGTTGCTATACAATAGAATGGGTTAGTGAGAGAGGAAACGTACTGAAAGTGAATGCAGTCGGGAGAAGGTATACGACGAGGAGCAGTATTCCAGAGAATGGAGCCATAACAGTAGCTCTTAGTTTATCAGAATCAAAGTGAAGAAGAATCCCAAAAGATGCTCCTGTACAAAACTGGACTGGTGCATGCCTACAATGCAGAAATGTGATATGACAAAGACTGGGATGGATTGTGAGGTTCAGCTTGTCACCTCGATAAAGGAAACTGAGAGATTTTCAAATGGTTAGATGGAACGTGTACGAAGATTTTCCGAAGTGCTGCACCTACCACGGGCTGCCTATAAGTGTCTCTAACTCAAAACAATTTTGTGCCGGTGTTTCATCAATTTATTTCCAGTGACGGATTAAAACGAACGGGAAATCTTCGCACAACATAGCGCACAGTATCTGTTCTCGGTCATGAGAGTGCGACAATAATATCAAGGAAGTCAGCAGCCTTAGACTAAGGTAATTGCATGGAATGCAACCCTAAAATTTGTCCAAGTGCCTGAAAGATGAACATCCATGACGCGTTTGAGTCGCGTGCAGAAAAAGCATGTCAAATTAGCTTGTATAGACCATATCTCTCTTTTCATCACTGGCTACAAGAAACCGGGTAAAGGCTTCGGCCTCCGGATGGTGTCAGTTACAAACTATCAGACAAGATTCTCTTGAAAGCACTAATGCTTGTTAGTAAGAGTGGGCGATGAGCGTGGAAACGTCGACTACACACTATAACTAAGAACATCGAACTCCCAGTCTGCAGAGCAATACCGGTTGTTGAAGAGGTTGTCTTCAAACTGAGAAATATCTGACACAGCCGGATTTAAAACAGTTAGTTCCCTTTAGTAACTTGAAAAGCACAAGTAGAAGACGAAGTTCAGCAGATGCATGCATTTCGTATCGTCTCATCAGTGCCGATAACGATAACCGGTAAATTTGTACAACAGTTTGTGGGTATAGACATCCGTATAAACAAACGCGAGAAAAAGGTGTCTTTCGTCTACAACCAGGGTAGCCTGAGGCTGATCGATAATTGTTTTTGAACACAAAGCACTGGCCTAATCCGACTAATGCCAATCGCCTCGGCAAACCGGAGGAGCCGGGAATTAGTATGGCGAAGCAGGATTGTGAACGCCTTGTTGACCTCAATTCGATGACCTGTGGTTAATAAGTGCCTGCCGATCGAAGATGCTGGCGGCCTGCGTACACACGTAGTCTGATTTGGGCTTGCTTGCTGACTAAGCCCGCATTGAACCCATTTTGGTACGTGCTCCTTTATTCGGGAACTCAGTGTTCTATTGGTTCTGCCTATGTAACTATCCCCGCAGTTACATACGAATTGATATACACAATGGGAGTTGGCGCCAATAGGCTGAGTTTCCTTCAGTGGAGGCAACGGTAGCTTATGGGTTCGGTCAAGGATTACAACTTCGGCAGCACAGAAAGTGCTCTGTGTGGCGGAAATCAGACGTCTTCTAGTCCTCAAAGAAGCAATGTCACCCTTAAAGGGCAGCTCTAAGAATACCTTTTTCTTAGGCACAGTAGGTAGAGCAACTTTCTTTTCACGGATTTCGCTGTGCTTTCGGATACAGTTTCGAGGGTAGCCGTTAGCAATTAACGTGTTGGTAATTAGTTCTATTTCATCGGCTAGACAATCGGTCGAACATATTCGTCTGGCGCGACTAAACAAGGTCTTCACGAGCGTTCGCTTGTGCCGAATTGGCGTAAAGCTGCTAAAATGCAGATACTGTCCCGACCACGTTGCTTTTCGATAGACAGACCTTTTTACCATTCCGTTATCCCTGCGGCTGATAAGAACATCCAAATATGGAAGAGAGTTCTGTTGTTCGACTTTGCAGGAAACCCTCAAATTGACATGCGATGAGTTAAAACGCGCCACTAGCTCTGCGATCTGCATTTCTGTCGAACTGAACACCAAGATATCGTCTTTGTCTTTCGGGATAGATTACAGAGTGCCACCTAGACGATTGATAGGATTGTTCATTGAGGCTCAGTTTGAGAACTATTTTGATCATTTGAAGGACCTTCAGCCAACTAGTACCGATATGCTTATATGGTTTAGAAACAAACTGACCGATGTTGCCTATGAAGTAAAAAATGCGCCAATAAAAGAAAAGTGCGCGCTTACGAACAGACACCTACGAGCGTTACGTGAATTGCGTGATAAGGATGTCGTTGTAATGAAGCCGGATAATGGTTCAGGAGTTGTAGTCATGAACAAAGGTGAATACATCGAGAAGATGAGCATTTTACTCAGTGACACTAACAAATTTAAACGACTAGAGAAGGCAGCGGATGTGACTACATTGGAATCCCGAATCATTCGCCACTTAGAAATGCTTCATCAAACTCATGTGATCGACAGTGTTACTTATAACAGTTTAAAGCCGAATGGATCAACGACGCCACAGCTATATGGACTTCCAAAAATGCACAAGACCGGAGTGCCGCTCAGGCCCATCCTCTCGATGACGAACGCGTCCCAACATAAATTAGCTCGCTGGTTGGTTAATGTGCTTTCTCCGCTAAAAGCTCAGTTTAATCTATATGGTCTCAAAGATTCCTTCGAGCTTGTCGAGGATCTCGATAAAATGAACTTGTCCGATAAGGTGATGTGTTCCTTAGACGTGGAATCTTTATTTACTAATGTGCCGCTACACCAGACTGTTGACTACATCTGCGAATTAGCAGAAAGTTCCGAATGTCGGTTGCCGATTCCAGTTGAATTCTTAAGAGAATCATTACTTCTATGCACGGAGAATGTCGATTTCCACTTCCGAAACATACCGTATCGCCAAATTGATGGGGTAGCCATGGGCAGCCCACTCGGCCCCATACTAGCGGATTTCTTCATGCTGATGATAGAACGAAGCCTATACGAAGAAATAGCGCAGTTGCCCTATTACAAACGTTACGTGGACGATATCTTGGTGTTCAGTTCGACAGAAATGCAGATCGCAGAGCTAGTGGCGCGTTTTAACTCATCGCATGTCAATTTGAGGGTTTCCTGCGAAGTCGAACAACAGAACTCTCTTCCATATTTGGATGTTCTTATCAGCCGCAGGGATAACGGAATGGTAAAAAGGTCTGTCTATCGAAAAGCAACGTGGTCGGGACAGTATCTGCATTTTAGCAGCTTTACGCCAATTCGGCACAAGCGAACGCTCGTGAAGACCTTGTTTAGTCGCGCCAGACGAATATGTTCGACCGATTGTCTAGCCGATGAAATAGAACTAATTACCAACACGTTAATTGCTAACGGCTACCCTCGAAACTTTATCCGAAAGCACAGCGAAATCCGTGAAAAGAAAGTTGCTCTACCTACTGTGCCTAAGAAAAAGGTATTCTTAGAGCTTCCCTTTAAGGGTGACCCTGCTTCTTTGAGGACTAGAAGACGTCTGATTTCCGCCACACAGAGCAATTTCTGTGCTGCCGAAGTTGTAATCCTTGACCGAACCCATAAGCTACCGTTGCCTCCACTGAAGGAAACTCAGCCTATTGGCGCCAACTCCCATTGTGTATATCAATTCGTATGTAACTGCGGGGATAGTTACATAGGCAGAACCAATAGAACACTGAGTTCCCGAATAAAGGAGCACGTACCAAAATGGGTTCAATGCGGGCTTAGTCAGCAAGCAAGCCCAAATCAGACTACGTGTGTACGCAGGCCGCCAGCATCTTCGATCGGCAGGCACTTATTAACCACAGGTCATCGAATTGAGGTCAACAAGGCGTTCACAATCCTGCTTCGCCATACTAATTCCCGGCTCCTCCGGTTTGCCGAGGCGATTGCCATTAGTCGGATTAGGCCAGTGCTTTGTGTTCAAAAACAATTATCGATCAGCCTCAGGCTACCCTGGTTGTAGACGAAAGACACCTTTTTCTCGCGTTTGTTTATATGGATGTCTATACCCGCAAACTGTTGTACAAACTTACCGGTTATCGTTATCGGCACTGATGAGACGATACGAAATGCATGCATCTGCCGAACAGCCGGATTTCTCTTGAAATGGGTAAGCTGCATGTTGTCCGGATTTATTGACAGGTTTCCTGCCTGGTATGCTTTTAGCAGACAAGAATGAGCGGAACACTCTAGCCAAGCAGTTGTGTACACAGACAGGTCACAAAGCTGAAGCACTCCCAACGTTGCGTTTTGCATATCCATCGTTCGAAGCTTCGAACCTGAACTTCTTTGTCGAGTGGAGCTGCAGCACCTCTGGTTACAAATCAGTTCCGAGAAAAACGGAAAAATGCTTACTTTCGTTGGAACTTCTCATTCATTTGTCACTCACAATCAAGTGCCTGGAGAAGATGCCACAAAAAACCTTGCGTTCTTCCTGGGGGCAACCTGATTTTCGCGGATGGATAGCGAGACTCCCTTTTGGATAATCACAGTCACGAAACATAACTCTTAATGGGCAAAAAGCCGATGAGTTGCAAACCGTGACACTGCCAATCCTTGGCATACTCGTAATGCACATGGAGGAAGTTAGGATATATATAGTTCGTACTGACTACATCAGAGACGCACAGCTCAGTAGGTGTAATGACAACGGCTTCAAGTTTAAAGTCAAAACTCACGTTGCAGTTGAAAATTATTTCGTTCCCTAATTCTATTCGGTGAATCTGGGGAATTTTTCCGGCTCTACACTTACGACTGCGGTTCCCAGCATCCGTTCAGCTCTTGCCACCTCCAGTCGTTGCAGCTACGAACCACACGAATTAGAATATGCGTGCTCCACCGAAGGATGCCCGCATTACAACTGGATCGTGTTGGAAGGATGCGTGTATCCACAAGGTTCCTCCAGCAGTCCTTAAGAAGGTTAACCGGTCATCGTTGGGCAGCAAAATAAATTCAAAGTTCAGGTTTTAACCCATGAATTTTCCGTCATTAACCATAGACTCGACTGGTCTTCACCCCGGTACCCATAAAATACGTATGTACCTTTAGGATACAGCAAACCAAGCAGCTTTTGCGAAAAATCTAAATCATGGAATTCTGGAAAGGCCCAGCTATGAACGAACGTGGGCAAATGCGTAAATAA